GATGGACGTTTGGGTTGATTCCAAGTCTTTGCTATTGTGAATAGTGCTGCAATAAACATAATGTGTACATGTGTCTTTATAGTAGCATGATTTGTAATCCTTTGGGTATATAGCCAGTAATGGGATCACTGGGTCAAATGGTGTTTCTAGTTCTAGATCCTTGAGGAATAGCCACACTGTCTTCCACAGTGGTTGAACTAATTTACACTCCCACCGACAGTGTAAAAGTGTTCCTATTTCTCAACATCCTCTCCAGCATCTGTTGTTTCCTGACTTTTTAATGATCACCATTCTAACTGGCATGAGATAGTATCTCACTGGGGTTTTGATTTGCATTTCTCTGATGACCAGGGATGATGAGCATTTTTTCATATGTCTCTTGGCTGTGTAAATGTCTTCTTTTGAGAAGTGTCTGTTCATATCCTTTGCCCACTTTTTGATGGATTTTCTTTTTTTTCTTGTAAATTTAAGTTCTTTGTAGATTCTGGATATTAGCCGTTTGTCAGATGGGTAGATTGCAAAGATTTTCTCCCACTCTATAGGTTGCCTGTTCACTCTGACGATAGTTTCTTTTGATGTGCAGAAGCTCTTTAGTTTATTTAGATCCCATTTGTCTATTTTGGCTTTTGTTGCCATTGCTTTTGGTGTTTTAGTCGTGAAGTGTTTGCCCATGCTTATGTCCTGAATGGTATTGCCTAGGTTTGCTGCTAGGGTTTTTATGGTGTTAGGTCTTACATTTAAATCTTTAATCCATCTTGAGTTAATTTTTATATACCGTGTAAGGAAGGGATCCAGTTTTAGCTTACTACATATGGCTAGCCAGTTTTCCCAGCACCATTTATTAAATAGGGAATCCTTTCCCTATTTCTTGTTTTTGTCAGGTTTGTCAAAGATCAGATGGTTGTAGATGTCTGGTGTTATTTCTGAGGACTCTGTTCTGTTCCGTTGGTCTATATATCTGCTTTGGTAGCAGTGCCATGCTGTTTTGGTTACTGTAGCCTTGTAGTATAGTATGAAGTCAGGTAGTGTGATGGCTCAGCTTTGTTCTTTTTCCTTAGAATTGTGTTGGCTATGTGGGCTCTTTTTTTGTTCCATATGAACTTTAAAGTAGTTTTTTCCAATTCTGTGGAGACAGTCAGTGGTAGCTTGATGGGGATGGCATTGAAACTATAAATTACCTTGGGTAGTATGGCCATTTTCATGATACTTATTCTTCCTATCCATCAACATGAAATGTTCTTCCATTTGTTTGTGTCCTTTTTTTTGTTGTTGTTGAGCAGTGGTTTGTAATTCTCCTTGAAGAGGTCCTTCACATCCCTTGTAAGTTGGGATGTGAATTGTGAATGGGAGTTCACTCATGATTTGGCTATCTGTTTGTCTGTTATCGGTGTATAGGAATGCTTGTGATTTTTGCACATTGATTTTGTATCCTGAGACTTTGCTGAAGTTGCTTTAATCAGTTTAAGGAGATTCTGGGCTGAGACGATGGGGTTTTCTAAATATACAATCATGTCATTTGCAAACAGGGACAATTTGACTTCCTCTTTTCCAAGTTGAATGCCCTTTATTTCTTTCTTCTGCCTGATTGCCCTGGCCAGAACTTCCAACACTATATTGAACAGGAGTGGTGAGAGAGGGCATCCCTGTCTTGTAGCAGTTTTCAAAGGGAATGCTTCCTGTTTTTGCCCATTCAGTATCATACTGGCTGTGGGTTTGTCAGAAATAGCTCTTATTATTTTGAGATACGTCCCATCAATACCTAATTTATTGAGAGTTTTTAGAATGAAGGGCTTTTGAATTTTGTCAAAGACCTTTTCCTGCATCTATTGAGATAATCATGTGGTTTTTGTCTTTGGTTCTGTTTATATGATGGATTACATTTACTGATTTGCGTATGTTGAACCAGCCTTGCATCCCAGGGATGAAGGCCAATTGATCATGGTGGATAAGCTTTTTGATGTGCTGCTGGATTCTGTTTGCCAGTATTTTATTGAGGATTTTTGCATCAATGTTCATCAGGGATATTGGTCTAAAATTATCTTTTTTTGTTGCGTCTCTGCCGGGCTTTGGTATCAGGATGATACTGGCCTCATAAAATGAGTTAGGGAGGATTCCCTCTTTTCCTATCGATTGGAATAATTTCAGAAGGAATGGTACCCGTTCCTCCTTGTACCTCTGGTAAAATTCGACTGTGACTCCATCTGGTCCTGGACTTCTTTTGGTTGGTAGGCTATTAATTATTGCCTCAATTTCAGAGCCTGTTATTGGTGTATTCAGGGATTCATCTTCTTCCTGGTTTAGTCTTGGGAGGGTGTATGTGTCCAGGAATTTATCCATTTCTTCTAGATTTTCTAGTTTATTTGCGTAGAGGTGTTTATAGTGTTCAGCTGAGATGGCTAAGGGAGGTTCTGTATTTTACAGAGGGCCGGCGGACTGACTGGAGTGCAAACTCTCCAAGGCACGTTTTTATCATGATGACAGTGTAAGAGAGAGAACAGAAGCACTCAAGGCTTAGGATCTGGACTGGCACACTCCCACTTCCTTCCACTATTTCATTATTTCCTTGACTGACACTGTTACAAACCCTGTGAGGTCATGCAAAACATTTGGACACAGTTTTCTAAAATTTTATGAATTTGTTGTCTTGGGCTTGATGGTTTTCTTGGCTTTTTCAGTAACAACTATGACATCTTTGATGATACAATCCCTCCAGACTTTCATGATGTTCTCTATTGGGATTCTCTTCCATAGTGTTGACAGTCTTCCATAGAATACTGTGTGTAATGAGTCTTAAATGTCCTTATGACCTCCTGATGTAGAGGCTGAATTAGAGCTGTCATGTTTGCGGGCAAGTGGACGACTTTGACACCTTCATTGTGAAACTCATGGAGTTCTGAGTGGCCAGGGATGTTGTACAGTTATCACAAAAATTTTAAAAGACAGTCCCTTAGTGGCAAGGTACTTCCTGACTTCAGGGACAAAATGTCGATGGGACCAATCCAGAAAAAGGATTCTCATTGTCCATGCCTTTTTATTGCCTTGCCTTCTTCTTTTGGCCTTCTTTTCCCTTCAAGGCTTGAAATTAGCAGCTTTATAGATAAGGGCAGTTCTGATGATAAGCCCAACTGCATTTGCACAAAACAGTAAAGTTAGCATGTCCCTTCCTGCCTTAAATCCTGGTGTTCACTTTTTCTTACTAATAAATGTCCTCTGTGGCATTTTTTTTTTTTTCTGGAATAAGACATTCTCATCTGCATTAAAACTCTGTTCAGGCAGATATTGTTTCTACTCAATTTTTTTCTTTTTCTGTTTTGTTTTGTTTGTTTGTTTCTTTATTTTGAGAGAAAGAGAGAGAAGGTCTCACTTTGTCACCCAGGCTGGGCTGGAGTACAGTGGCATGATCACAACTCACAGTAGCCTTGACCTCCCAGGCTCAAGTGATCCTCCTGCCTCACCTCCCCAAGTAGCTGGTACTACAGGCACATACCATCGTGCCCCACTAATTTCTGTATTTTTGGTTGATATAGGGTTTCACCATGTTGTTCAGGCTGGTCTCAAACTCCTGAGCTCAAGCAATCTGCCCACCTCAGCCTTTCAAAGTGCTGGGATTGCAGACAGTCATGCCTGGCCAATTATTATTATTTTTTTTTTCAAGCAGCATACATGGAAACCAATTATTTTCTTAATGGCATCTGGGAACTGATCTGCTGCCTCTTGGCTGACAAAAGCTGCACCTTCTCTTGTTGTGACATTTTTAAGGCCAAACCACTTTCTAAAAGTATCAAACCATCCTTTGCTGCCATTAAATTTTCCAGGTTTAGATCCTTTACCTTCCTTTTGCTTTAAGTTGTAGTATAAGGACTTCACTTTTTCTCAAATCATGTTAGAGTCTATATGTAGACTTTTCTTGTAACAGCCATGCACCCACAAAAAGTGCATTTCGATACAAGATTAAAAGGTATTCACAAAAAAGTACAAGGTTTTTGTGTCTGCTGATGTAGCTGCAGCAATGGCTTCATGATTTTCCTTTTCTTTTTTTATAATTGCCCTTAAGTTTGATTCATTTATCTTGAAATGCTAAGCAACCACAGCTGTAGATCTCAAGCTGTGGTTCATATCAAGCAAATCAACTTTTTCTTGTAATTTTATGACTTTCCTGTACTTGAGAGTACTTCCAGCATCACTGGTGGCACTTTGAATGAGTCTCACAATGTATTCAAGGTTTACAGTATTGCATAAAACATGGTGAAAAATACGCAAGAACCATGAGAGATTACTTCCTATTCTCATATACAATTTATGGAGAGAGAACTGCTCAAACAGCATTTTAAGTGGATACAACACTAGCGCTAACTGCAATATCAACAGAGGGTGGCTATAAAATTATTACAGTAATACAGTATTACTACACTTAAATTTATTGTTATGATTTAGTACTATTAGGTTGGCAAAAACCGCAATTACATTTGCACCAACCTAATACATCTTTACATTTCTTTATGTTTCTCTTGACTATGAGTGGCACTGTGTATGTTTGTGTTTTGTGTGTAAATTTTGATATGTTTTAACTTTTTATAATAGATTTCTGTATATTTTGTGGTAGTAAATAATAAAATACACTCATATTTACATATATTTTATGCATTCATAATGTATCTTTAAAATATTTTTTAAATTTTTAAATATTTTTAGGCTATGTGGTTTATCTGCAGATTTTTTCAAATTGTCTCAAATCTCTAAAATTTTCAATGTAATTATTGAAAAATATCCACATGTAAGTGGACTAGCACAGTTAAATGATTTTGTTCAAGGGTCAACTGTAATTCCAAATAAATGCCAAATTCAACAGGACACCAGTTTTAATATTACATTGTTCAATATTTATCTCTGATCACAAAGTATCTGAGGCAAATATCATGCTAGATTTCTACTGCTTGCAAAGATAAAAACTCAGTGCTCTGGATATTAAATTTTATGATATATGTTTCATTTTTGCTTAGGTAAATATGCTGAAGATATATTTGGAGAATTATTCAATGAAGCACATAGTTTTTCCTTCAGAGTCAACTCATTGCAAGAACGTGTGGACCGTTTATCCGTTAGTGTTACACAGCTTGATCCAAAGGAAGAAGAATGTAAGCTTATTAATATTGTATTTTCTTCTGTGTATATATTTTAAGTTAGATGAGATGAATGATATATTTAAGAACAATATTAATCATGAATGTATTACAGATCATACCCATGTCCTTTGGTGTACATATTGTAATAAATCAGTGAATTATCTAAAAATGCCATCGGTATGACTCTCCTGGCTTTTCTTTTCTACTGTTTTAAATCACTTCTTTTTGTACACTAAACAGCTCCTAATTTTGGCATAAATAAGTCATTTTAACCAGATATTTTCCTCCATTCTCTTCATTCTCTTTCTCTTTTCTCCCTTATAATTTATTTGTATACTTTTGTCTTAGAAATAAAAACTATTAGAAAATTACCTGAAATCTTTAGGTTTGACTCTTCAAGAATGTAACTACTTTTTTTTGAGACAGAGTCTCACTCTGTCACCTAGGCTGGAGTGCAGTGGCGCGATCTCAGCTCACTGCAACCTCCACCTCCCAGGTTCAAGTGATTCTCCTGCCTCAGCATCCTGAGTAACTGGGATTCCCATGCCTGGCTAATTTTTTTATTTTTAGTAGGGATGGGGTTTTGCCATGTTGGTCAGGCTGGTCTTGAACTCCTGACCTTGTGATCTGCCTGCCTCGGCCTCCCAAAGTGTTGGGATTACAGGCGTGAGCCACCGCACCCAGGCACATAACTGCTTTTAATATGCTTTTTTATGTGCATATTGCTAAAGTCTTACTAGTTATTTAACTGAATGCAACTTCCTACTTTAAATGAACATTTCAAAAACAAATTGCCAGTATGTAGGGTATAAACATTCTATACCAAGATATTAAATCAGGAATAATCAGGTAAGGAAGCCACCCTATAAGCTAAAATAACTGTAGAAACTTCAGTGGTAAAATCATGTTTTATGCCTTGATAGAATACGTTCAATGCCGATGTTTCCTAAATGCCTCTTTTTGTTTGTTTTACAAAAAGAAATGTAATACTAAGAACATAATTTGCACTTATCTACCACAGAGAATTGTTTAATGGAATTTCTTACACTCTCTTCAAAATATGTTTGTTGCATTAAATAATATATATGCAAATTATATAATAGATATAATTTTTAGTATAAATGCAAATTATATAATAGATCTGAACTTTAACAATAAAAATACTAAAGGATGTCACTGGAAAGAACAAAAATATAATGTAATGACGGATGTCTTAGTGATGGAACCAGCTATTATTGAAATAATCTAATGTGTAAATAAGGAGAGGTAAATACTTGGCACACTAGATTTCTACCACTTGTAAAATGTAAACTCAGAGCTCTGGATACAAGAAAAAAAGGAAATAATACTTAAAAAATAGCTTTATTAAGATTTATTTCACAACCTACCTATACCTTGCAGTTCACCCATTTAAAGTTGAAGTGTACAGTTCAGTGTTTTTTAGTATATTCAAGTTATGCAGCCATCACCACAATCAATTTTAGAGTATTTGTATCACTTCAGAAAGAAGCCCTGTACTCATTAGCAGTCACTCTGTTTCCCCTTCAGCTCAACCCCTAGCAATCACTGATCTTTCTGTCTGTATGGATTTGCCTGTATGGATTTGTCTGTATGGATCTGTCTGTATGGATATTTCATATGAATGAATAGTACAATATGTGGTCTTTTGTGACTGACTTCTTCTGTTTAGCATAATGTTTTCAAGGTTAATTCATATAATGTGTATTTATATTTCTCTGATGGCTAATGATGTTGAACATCTTTTCATGTGCTTATAGGCCATTTGTATATCTTCTTTGGAGAAATGTCTATGTAGTTCCTTTGCCCATTTATAATTTGGATTATTTGTGTTTTTATTTTTGACTTGTTGGAATTCTGTGTATATTTTGGATCTAAATCCTTTATCAAATAATGATTTGCAAATATTTTCTCCCATTCTTTAGGTTGTCTTTCTTGGTGGTGTCCTTTGAAACATGTGCATGTATCAATACATTAATTACACCTCATGGAATTCTTGAAATAAAATCATTGTTAGTGATGAAAAAATACTTTATGGTCATGCTTTCAGATATATAATTTATAGCCAAAATTTGTTTTTTAGATAGCTCAACTATTTCTAACTTAAATATAAATTTATGCCATCAAATAATAGAGAAATACACGGGCAGTTCTCATATGTAACAGAAATAAAAGTCAACATTTAGTTTCAAAATATTGTTACATTTTAACAAATGTCTTAGAACCACCGTTAAACTTGAAAGTGAAAATACAGATAACAGTAAATAAGATGTTTGTGTTAAAAAACAAATTTTAATATTTCAACAACTATACTGTCAGAATTATACATAGTTTCCTTTAAAATTTTGTGGAGCAGTGGGGGAAGAATTCAGAATCTAAAAGCTGAACTACTTCATTTGAAATTGTTTTGGAGAGGTTGTATTGAAGGAGTTTTCAGTTATTTAACCTTGGTTTTTTAATTCAATGGGAGTTCAAAAAAAATAACATCATGTGTACAGTACTAAATTGCATAGTGTGGTATCAGTTTTTTTTAACCATTTTGTAGTAACTGAAAACTATCAATTTCGAAAATATTTTTAAATGAATTTTAAACAAAGACTTGTACAATTATATTTAAGTCAATTATGTTTATAAACATTATACTGATTTATTGCTTTATAATTCTATTTTATTAATATCAGATGTTATTGTTGGCAAGTGGAAGGGGCTTCACCACAATGGTCAGTTAATAATGAGACAAGAGATAAATGGGAGGAGTTGAAGGTAGAAAAGTACAACATGCTTATTACTTTACATGTTTCTTATATCCTTTACCAAGGAAGTTTGGGGAGATTAAACACTAGGTTTCCATCTTAGTTACATACTTATTGATTAATAAGTGGGGTAGGAGAGTGGCAAGAATTGATCCACTTTGACTGCAGAAAACACAAGCCACTTCTAGCAGGAGCCTGAAAACAGTGTGTGGTATTGTGGCAAAAAAATTAGCCTTAAAGGTAAACAGATCTGACTTCTGTGTTCTGGCTCTTCTGTTTATTAACTGTTTAACCTCAGGTCAGTTATATACTATTTCCTAGCCTTGGCTTTCTTGTAATATTTCAAAATGGAATAATTCATATCTTACTGAATTATAAAGATTAAATGAAATGAAAGTTAGCACATCTAGTATGTACTCTAGCACATATAGTATGTACTCATTAAATACTGTATCTCCAGTGCCACTTTTTAGTGACAGTGGGGAAAAACTTTTTGCTTCTCTGAATTTTATTTTAGTATTTATAAGTGTGTTACAGGTCATGCAGCAGTGGAGTTGCTAGAAATGCAGTTATGGTGCCGCCGTTGCAGAGCCAGCCTATTGCACCACCTGTGCCATTGGTCCCATGTTCATGTTGAGTGAATTTACTTGAGAAGATGATAGGAAAATTATTTTAGGGAGAAGGATAACTTAAGAATTGTTGGCCGGACGTGGTGGCTCACACCGGTAATCCCAGCACTTTGGGAGGCCGAGGTGGGCAGATCACGAGGTCAGGAGTTCAAGACCAGCCTGGCCAACGTAGTGAAACCTCATCTCTACTAAAAATTAAAAAAAAAAAAAAAAAATTTGGCCGGGCGCGGTGGCTCAAGCCTGTAATCCCAGCACTTTGGGAGGCCGAGACGGGCGGATCACGAGGTCAGGAGATCAAGACCATCCTGGCTAACCCGGTGAAACCCCGTCTCTACTAAAAAATACAAAAAACTAGCCGGGCGAGGTGGCGGGCGCCTGTAGTCCCAGCTACTCGGGAGGCTGAGGCAGGAGAATGGCGTGAACCCGGGAGGCGGAGCTTGCAGTGAGCTGAGATCCGGCCACTGCACTCCAGCCCGGGCGACAGAGCGAGACTCCGTCTCAAAAAAAAAAAAAAATTAGCCGGCCGTGGTGGCAGTTGCCTGTAGTCCCAGCTACTTGGGAAGCTGAGGCAGGAGGGAGGAGGAGGAAGGAAGAGGAGGGAGGAAGAGGTTGCAGTGAGCCGAGATCGCACCACTGCACTCCAGCCTGGGTGACACAGTGAGACTCTGTCTCAAAAAAAAGAATTGTTAGGATTGTTATACTGACCTTGCTATGAGGGTATTTGTCTGTATACTTAAGGCCATATTAAATATCTAAGAAACTACTTTATTTTTTAATATCAGGAAATCACTCTAAGAGTTAAGAATACAACATTTTTGTATATTTGTTATTTTAACATGCTGCACAGTTCAAAATAAATGAAGTTATTTTTAAATCATCACATATGTGATGGGGCTGTGCTAGTTACTGGGAATACTAATGTATAAGATAGTCTGAGTCTTCAAGAGCTTATAGTTAGGTAGAAATCCTTATAGTACAGATAAAATATAAGTTAAAAAGAATAATATAGATCACCCAATACTTAAAAATATTTCCTTTACAGTAAAGTTTGTTTTAACTTGATAGTACACACAAAAGATTTATAGCATACGTAGTGTAGAGGTTAACAGCGTGTTTAACCCACAGTGCCACTAATAAGTAAGTAATTCCTTTCAGAGTTACTGATGTAAGCTAAAAAGAAGGAATAAAGGGAGATGGAAAAGAAGATTAATAGGAGAAGAGAACCTAAGTTGGTGGGGGCCCATGATGGCAGGTAGAAGAAAGAAAAAGGTATATTTGGTTGAAATGTAGATATGTTTCAGATGTCTTTAGGGCCTTCTGAGCCCTAGAAATCAAAGGTTAATTAAAACCTATCTGATTGGGAAATTAGGCACAGAATGATAAGGGTAAATATAATGATAGAACATTTATAATGTGGTTTCTGATTCATAAGCCACTAAGGTCACAACCTCTTGAACCGTGCTGACTTTTAGACAAATACAGTATATGAATTTGCCCTTATGTTAAATCATCTTAGTAAAATAAAATAAAATGAATTCTTGATTTTTGTTTCAGTGTCTTTGCAAGATATAACAATGAGGAAAGCTTTCCGAAGTTCTACAATTCAAGACCAGCAGCTTTTTGATCGCAAGACTTTGCCTATTCCATTACAGGAGACGTACGATGTTTGTGAACAGCCTCCACCTCTCAATATACTCACTCCTTATAGGTAGGTAGGTTAATAAATGGTAGCCCTATTATTTATCTCAGACTTCAGATTGAAATGCTAAATCCCCAAACATTCTTTATTTCATTGGGCTTCTAGCCAACACAGAGAGCCCTCTCTGTCCACCACCTTTGGAAAAACCTTTGTTTTACTCACTGGATGAATTCCTAAGATTCTGGCATACAAAAGACAAGACCTATTCAAAAGAGTTGTTTTGACAAGTTAAGAAAAGCCACTGGTAAACTTATTAATATAAAGAGATAAGGAGTCATTATTGTCCTTTTAATTTAATTTTTAACCAAATGGAAAAAGCTCAAAATTCTGTCCTTCTAACAAAATAAACATTATAATTTTTGCTTGTTTTGTCTACTCTTTTTTTTTTTTTTTTTTTTTCTTTGTCTTGCCCTATTAAGGAACAAGGATTTTCAAGTTTTAAAATTATGTAAATGGCATTTTACAATGCTGTGAGATTTTTTTTTTTTTTTTTTTGAGGCAGAGTCTCGCTCTGTCACTCAGGCTCACTGCAAGCTCCGCCTCCCGGGTTCATGCCATTCTCCTGCGTCAGCCTACCGAGTAGCTGGGACTACAGGTGCCCATCACCAAGCCTGGCTAATTTTTTGTATTTTTAATAGAAACGGGGTTTCACTGTGTTAGCCAGGATGGTCTCCATCTGACCTCGTGATCCGCCCGCCTCGGCCTCCCAAAGTGCTGGGATTACAGGTGTGAGCCACTGCACCCGGCCTGTTTCGTCTACTCTTGATTTGTGTGCATTAACTTCTTATATAATGAATAGGTAGTACCTTAAAATGCTTTTTACCACTTTGAATAAAATCTGGAATTATTTAACCTTTTTTTGAAGTTCTTTCATGTAGTTTGTTAAATGAGTAATTTAAGATGTATGACACATCCTGAATAAAATAGTATTTAGAGAGTTATTTGAAATTGTAAGTCAGTGTGCAGATCATTAGATATAAATGTGACTATTAGAATGACTATTACGTGATGTATTTTGGATTTAGTAAGATAAATCATAGTATTGGCAGAAACTTCAAAATTTCTCTATTCTAGATGATGTTATTGTCTTTTCAGGCTTTTATCTTTGGCAGAGCTATTTGTAATTATTGGAATTGCCCAAAGGACTTTTGAGAAAATTTGGGATTCAGCAGAAGTTAGGGATGAAAATTGCCCAGCTGTACTTTGAAGTATTAGTACTAACTCAGAAAAGCATCTGGTTTTCCTCTTTTCTTTGTTTCCTCAGATTTGTGAGAAATTTTCTATTGGTGCAATATTCAATTTTATTTTGTCGATATTTTAACACGAGCTGTATTTTATTGATATAAGAGGATAAACATTTTAGTGAAATTATTTCTGTTCTGATTGCCTGAGTCTTACTAATGTGTGTTTTAATTGATACATTTCAGAGATGATGGTAAAGAAGGTCTGAAGTTTTATACCAATCCTTCATATTTCTTTGATCTATGGAAAGAAAAAATGTTGCAAGATACAGAGGATAAGAGGAAGGAAAAGAGGAAGCAGAAGGTATTACAAGAGATTAAAAAATTGAGGTTAATTTTTGTATATTTGTGTTTTGTTGCATTTATTGAACTTCATTAATCTTGTATTTTGACAGTTTTATTTTATTGGGTCCATATAGTTAAATACTGAAGTCTTTATAACTCCTCAGAAAGAACACAGTCTGATGGGGAGCAGATGAGCAATTAGGTTATTAGAGTATGGCATAATAAGTGCCGTAGCAGAGGTATGCATAAAGGGTTTAGATAACACAAAATAGCATCTGCTTTAGCTAGCAGCCAGGGTAAACACTTCCAACAAAGCTTATAATGAATCTTGAAGAACAGATAGGAGTTAGTTAGGTGGACCAAGGAAGAGAGGAACATTTTGGTAAGAAGGAACAATGGAATCTTGTACAGATATTGGTAATGTAGATTAAGCTAATATTTTCTGGCTACAGAGCACATCCTAAACGTTTCTCTCCTAAATGTGTTGGAGAGGTTATTATATTCACATGAAATTTCTGTTATTTCTGTTGTCATTTTCCACTTTCTAATAAAATTCACTTCTCTCTGCTTTATATTTCATGTTAATGATAACTGAAAACACAGAAGGTTGAAGCAAAGTTAGATTTAGGCTGAATTATGAAGGAGGCAAGTTCTGTCTTTATCATCTCTCTGGTTCTCCTGTAACTATCTCTGCTTTCCCTAATCCCTGTATAATGCCGTTGTATTGTCTTCTTTGCTAGATGGTAACCCAGTATTCTAGCTAACATTTGCAAACTAGTGACTGGCAAGCCAGATTATGCCTGTAGGGAGTGTTTCATTTGCCAAACACAGAGGTTTTTAAATTTTGGAACTAGAGTGCCTGAGATGGACATATCTGTCTAGCTCACCACGTGCCCCATCTTACACCCGACTGACTTCATTCATGTATGTTATCCGCTTGGCCGCTTTGGGCATTTGAATTTGTTACACTTACTCTAGCCCTTTCTATGCTTTCTCCCCCAGTTTTGAATCACTTTTTGTTTTATTGTTTAAAGACAATGTTTTCTGTTGAGTGATATAGTTATTATGGGTTAATTAGATAATTGAATTTTTTTCTAATGTGTTGGCTAACTAATCAGTTACTTCCCAGATAACATAACCTTAGTACATTTTTACATTTCGATTAGAGGTAGGCAATGCCATTAATGGTAGAAATTTCAAACTAATGCCTGTGGAGCAAGGGTTCATGAATCTTTTTTCATGTGAAAGACTTTCTGACCTCAAATCGTATTCTTTAGGCGTACTATTTTGTGTCTGGCGCCATCAGTTCGAATTAGGAGTTAAACAAAACATGGCAGAAAACTGGGACTATAGCACACTGGCTAAGATTTAACTCGGAATGTACAAGTGAACCATTTCTGTGTTACTTTTACTATATTACGATGACATTGTCTTTTTTAGTGTTGATGTTAGAATGTTATTTTGATTGTTATAACCTCTTTTTTAAAAAATTAGCACTTAAGCATTTGACTTTGTTTCAATACATCTGTTATAGCAGAAAAATCTAGATCGTCCTCATGAACCAGAAAAAGTGCCAAGAGCACCTCATGACAGGCGGCGAGAATGGCAGAAGCTGGCCCAAGGTCCAGAGCTGGCTGAAGATGATGCTAATCTCTTACATAAGCATATTGAAGTTGCTAATGGTCCAGCCTCTCATTTTGAAACAAGGTTTCTTTACTTTTGTTTTTGTTTTTTTTAAAACAATGATAAAACATTGGCTTTATTTGTAATATCTGTACTTCTAAGTCTTGAGTCCTAAACTGTTGAACAGGCAGACCCTGTTATAAATATAGAGATTACTTCAAAATCCCGACCACTGTGGACCTACTAAAGTCAGGCCTTGAGCAGGTCATTTTCATACCTGGACTTTAGTTTTGTCATCTGTAGAAAGAGGTGGTTGGAGTGGCTGATCTTTAGGGTTGTTTTAGCTTTAGTGTGAAATCTCAATAGTCTCTCAATATTTCGGGCACAGTCTGCTAGAATTTTGTAATAGAAGTGTAGGGTCTGGGATTTTTTTGAAATACTATTGATTTATTGCATATAAAATAAGAGTGAAGAAGGGGTTCTGTTTTGTTCCTTTTGCTTTCCCCTGACTTCCTTTCTTTGCCACATCACCTACCTCAGATACATTAGGACTTTCAAACAAAAGTATTCATCCCTTTTGTAGAAAAGAATAGGTCTTTTTCCTTTCTCAGTGGCCAGGGGCCCTAACTAAATAACATACTACCAGCAAACACATTAAACTGACATCTCTCTATGAAGACATTTACTTGGGTATAGTCATGTTTGTTTGTTTGTTTTGAGACAGAATCTCGCTCTATCACCCAGGCTGGAGTGCAGTGGTGTGACCTCAGCTCACTGCAACCTCTAACTCCTTTGTTCAAGCGATTCTCCTACCTCAGCCTCCCAAGTAGCTGGAATTACAGGCACACGCTACCACGCCCAGCTAATTTTTGTATTTTTAGTAGAGATGGGGTCTCACCATGTTGGCCAGGCTGGTCTTGAACTCATGACCTCAAGTGATCTGCCTGTTTTGGCCTCCCAAAGTGCTGGGATTGCATGCGTGAGCCACTGTGCCCAGCCTAGTCATATGATTTTTTAATGGAGAAGAGCTTAAGGTTTTCTTTTAAGTAATATACATATAAATTATTGGGCCATAAGTGTGCAACATCTTGACCTATTTTAGGAGAAATACACATCTGAGAGATACTATTTATCTGTATTACTGAAAGAATTGACGTTAAAAAATTATAGACACATTTATTTCTACTACAGTTGAGTAATTAAGGTACTTATCTGGCTCACTAAATACAGTAATTTCTGACTTGCTGTGTGCACATCTGTTAAATCCAACTTTGTCCCCAGAATGTACTAGTAAATATTTATAAATCTTAACATGTTCGAGGTATCTGAAATTTTGCTTACATCTAAGTCACATGTTGCTATGTTACTCAGCTGTTTTCTGAGTACCCTTGCACGTTTAAAACAGCAGAAGGACAGAAACAATATAGCTAGCCACCTCTGTGCTGTTAGTATCGGGGAGGCCTTTCTCTCTGGTGCAAGACTTTTAGAAGTCATTTGAGAGCACACCGAGATATACTAATAGTAGAAAACTCATTTTCCTATTCTACCTTTCTGTCATTGGCATCTTCTTGTAAAGAAAAAAACTGAAATAGAGGCAGATAGCTTTCCACACAATTTGCTAAAAGTTAATTATTTTCCTGTTTATTAGATTACGTATGTAATGCTTTTCATCCTGTGAGTTGAATTAGTATTCTGTTATAAAATAATAAAATAACTGATGGTCATCATAGTAGATCTCTAAATCAACAAGTAAGGGTTACATTGTGAGCAGCATTCTTTGTTTTAAAAGCAGGATTAATGTAATACTTTTCTGAAAGTTTCTTAAAAATAGTTAAAATGTTGACATTGAAAGGATAAACTTTAAATATTTAATATCTCATGTAGAACACTTTTCCTCCCAATAATTCAAGAAAAATTCACTGATACTGTATATTTCTTTTAGACCTCAGACATACGTGGATCATATGGATGGATCGTACTCACTTTCTGCCTTGCCATTTAGTCAGATGAGTGAGCTTCTGACTAGAGCTGAGGAAAGGGTATTAGTCAGACCACATGAACCACCTCCGCCTCCACCAATGCATGGAGCAGGAGATGCGAAACCGATACCCACCTGTATCAGGTATGTTGGAACAAGCATATGATGTTTTATCTTAGGAGTCAGTAACTTTTTCTTTCAAGGATGAGATAGTAAGTATTTTTGGCTTTCAGGGCTTACAGTTTTTGTCACAAGTACTCAATTCTGCCATTGTTGCATGAAAGCCACCATAGACTATACATAAACAAATGTGTCTGCATTTAAATAAACTCTGTTTATAAAAACAGGGAGCAGGTCTGATTTGGTCTATGGGGCATTATTTGTAATCTTCTGGTTAGAGCTGACACACTCTCCTAGGAAAATTTAGCTAATAAGAATTTAAAGAGTAAAGCCTGTTTCATTTTATTATAGTGTTGTTATTAAGCATATCATGTGCAGTGTATTAAGAAAAATTAAGGATTTTTTGGAATGTGGGTAACAGTCTAAGAAATGGGAACCAAAGATGTGATTATTAATACTAATTTGGTATTAAGGAAAATACTTAAAGAATTTCAGAGAGGATTGGCAGTTGCTCATAATAATCTTTCTGTAAAGCTATTTTGAAGTTTAATCTTGTCAGTTATTATCCAAATGATAAATTTCTAATAGAGAAATATTAGAGAAATTTTCTAATAGAGATATAGAGATCAGCTTTACAATTTTCAGTTAAAAATCCAATTTTCTATCACTGACTCATTTGATGTTCCATCCTCAGGAAAAGAGAGAGCTGTGAATTTCTTTCTGTGGTTTGTAATTAGCTGTCATTGATGTAACTGAAATAGCATATGATGAGACTTAATAGTTTCAGTATAAATACGACATTATATTGGCCACAAGTATTGCTACAAAATTGCATTATGATCAATGTTGAGTCATTACAGAGACTCCTGTCAGTATAGAATTGAGCATTTTATTTATCAAAGTGAGCCTAAAATGTCTGAGTGGATGCAAAAGTTGCATGAAAGAATGAGACTATTTAGACTATTACAAACCAAAGCACCACTCATTAACTTTTTTTGTTGATGTGCTTTTAGTTCTTTTTTTCCCTAAATACTGTTGAAGATGTTAAATTTCTATAGGAGCATGTTAATGGATCTATTTTGATATAATTACTGATAGTCATTTATAGTTTGTGTGGTTAGATTTTCTCTTTAGGCTTTTCTCTTTTAATAACTTGCTAGAATCTCTTTGTCATTTCAGTTCTGCTACAGGTTTGATAGAAAATCGCCCTCAGTCACCGGCTACAGGCAGAACACCTGTGTTTGTGAGCCCCACTCCCCCACCTCCTCCACCACCTCTTCCATCTGCCTTGTCAACTTCCTCATTAAGAGCTTCAATGACTTCAACTCCTCCCCCTCCAGTGCCTCCCCCACCTCCACCTCCAACCACTGCTTTGCAAGCTCCAGCAGTACCACCACCTCCAGCTCCTCTTCAGATTGCCCCTGGAGTTCTTCACCCAGCTCCTCCTCCAATTGCACCTCCTCTAGTACAGCCCTCTCCACCAGTAGCTAGAGCTGCCCCAGTATGTGAAACTGTACCAGTTCATCCACTCCCACAAGGTGAAGTTCAGGGGCTGCCTCCACCCCCACCACCGCCTCCTCTGCCTCCACCTGGCATTCGACCATCATCACCTGTCACAGTTACAGCTCTTGCTCATCCTCCCTCTGGGCTACATCCAACTCCATCTACTGCCCCAGGTCCCCATGTTCCATTAATGCCTCCATCTCCTCCATCACAAGTTATACCTGCTTCTGAGCCAAAGCGCCATCCATCAACCCTACCTGTAATCAGTGATGCCAGGAGTGTGCTACTGGAAGCAATACGAAAAGGTAATTTTCTCAGCTCCATGAAAAGCATTGCTATAGTAGCATTGGAAACTTTCTAAATATTTAAGACAAAAATGTGTTCCTTATTTATAAAATTTTAGGTGATCATGTTGTGTACAAATGGCCTTTAGAAAGTAAAGCTATATCCAACTTATATTTAAAATCATTTTCCAGAAAATAGATCACATTTGATCATTTTATTTTCATGCTTTGTAGGTATCCTTAAAATGTTTATTGAGTGAATGAGAAATTTAATATATCAGACTTGTGTTATAGAACATTTAATTAAAACCCTTTATATTATGCTTAATGTGTATATTAACTCCTTTAAAAATAGTATTTTCTTCAATGTTAAGGCTGTTCATTTCGGGTATCCATGACACTTACTCTACCAGATGCCTTTAAAGGAATGAGGTTCCTCCCTTAGTAACAAAGGAAAGACTTCTCATATTCATTCATTTATTGTCATTATTTCCTAAGCAATGACTGTAGGCCAGGCACTGAGCATATAAAATGAATAATAGTGCCTTTCCCTCAAATACAATGGATAATGAAGCCACAGAAAATATATTCAACAATGTTTAATTTATTTGACCATTGGGATGATAGAAGAAATGTACTACCTCATTAATTTTTTAGGGGGTGGTAAGCAGGGAGGTATAGTAGACCATGATGGATAAATAAACTCTAGATACCTACTGGGATACCTGGTAAGTTTTACCAACTAATAACACAGATAACATAAAGATTTAATGCCTCTCTCAGTATGATTTCTTCACATTCTTTTCTGATCTTTCTATTTTTCCTATTAGTATTTCTCATGTGTATTTGATTTTATTCCAGAAATGTTAGTAATATCAAGTATTTAGTATTTTGATTTAAATGAATGGTTTGGATTCACTATATCAGGTATTCAACTACGCAAAGTAGAAGAGCAGCGTGAACAGGAAGCTAAACATGAACGCATTGAAAATGATGTTGCCACCATCCTGTCTCGCCGTATTGCTGTTGAATATAGTGATTCGGAAGATGATTCAGAATTTGATGAAGTAGATTGGTTGGAGTAAGAAAAATGCATTGATAAATATTACAAAACTGAATGCAAATGTCCTTTGTGGTGCTTGTTCCTTGAAAATGTTGGTCATTCTAGTGTTTTGCTTTCTTTTCCTTATAATAAATGACCCTTTTCCTCCATAACTTTTGATTTCTAAGGAAAATATTAGCATACATTTCAAACTAAATGTTTTACAGTGGCTTATCTTTTTCTTCCCCCTGAAAAGACTAATTTGGTCAAATAAACCACTAAGTATTAAGCATGGACAGCTGTTGTTAGAGTAGCAGATTCAGTTTTTTGATATATCTTAATTGTGTACTTTGTGAATTTTAATTTAAAGAAAGCAACTGAATTGAAATCTTGAGGGCAGCTGTATCTATTAATGAGCCTTATTCCATTTCCTGATGTTTTAAAAGAAGAAACACTGCCTTGATTATATGAATACACTCAGAAAGTACATTTAGCTTGTAGTGTTGAATTCTCTTAAAGGAATGCTTGAATTTTTTCATTATTGTTTTATTGTTTTTATATACTTGCCTTATTTGAATGTTTAGCAGTATCCCCTTCCCACTTACATATTGTGTGATATGATTTTGCTTGCCTATAGGAGTTAAAAACTTTTCCATGTGAAATACTCTGACTTAAACATACATGTAACTTACATAACTGTTAAGAATAACAGTCTGATTTAATAAATGGTTCATTTTAAAAGTTCATCAGTGTTTCTGTTTGAATAAAATGATTTATCATAATTTATCAAATACTGTATGGTAGGCTTTAAATAGTGAATGAAAATTTAAAAAACACTTAAGCTACATAATTTCCTCTTAATTGCACAGCTTCATATTGTCTACTGTGTAAGGTAGCTTTTATGTCATTTTCCTCCTAAGTTCATAAACTCTATATTTCTCAACTGTTTGTGGTTTTAAATTAAAACCTCAACTTGCATCTAATTTCAGCAAACCTTAATTTCAGTTTAACAGTGTTCTTGAAATTACGTTTTGCAGCCAGGCATGGTGGCTCACGCCTGTAATCCTAACATTTTCGGAGGCTGAGGCTGGTGGATCACTTGAGCCTGGGAGTTTGAGACCAGCCTGGGCAACATGGCGAGAACCCCGTCTCTACAAAAGTATACAAAAATTAGCCGGGCATGGTGGGGTGTGCCTGTAGCCCCAGCTACTTGGGAGGCTGGGGTGGGAGGATCACTTGAGGCTGGGGAGGTTGAGGCTGCAGTGAGCTGAGATCATGCCACTGCATTCCAGCCTAGGCAGAGTGAGACCCTGTCTGGAAAAAAAAAAAGAAAAAAAGAAAAATTGTATTTTTCAATGATAAAATGAGTTAATGTTTTGCAATGATAATGATAAATGATAAAATTTTGCAATGATAAAATGAGTTAATGTTTGCACAACTTAGATTTAGGGGTGGAGGGGAAGCACCGTTAATATCAGATTACTTCATTTAAAGAAACAACTCAGTGAAGTTTGGGTAAGTTGATTGTAGAAGTGACTGCGGTCTTCAGCCTTGCCTATATCTACTCGTTTTGCAGTACAGTTTCCAGTTCTTCCCATCAAGAGGTGAGTTCTGTTCCCACGCCCTTGAATCTGAGTGTCCCTGAAACTTGCTTTGGCTAATAATAGCATGTAGCAAAAGTGACGATTGTGCCAGTTCTAAGCCTGGGTCTCAAGAAACCTTGCAAGTTTTAGCCTTCTCTCCTTCCATCTCCCTACCTCCCTCTCTCAAACCTCTGCCATGAGAATAATCCCAAACTAGCCTGGCTGAAGATCAGAAACCTCATGGAGGAGAGGTTATCTCAGGTGAGACCATCTTAGACCAGCCAAGCCCAAACTCGCTTGCTGGTGGTAGACAGATAAGCAAGCCTGGACAAGGTTAGCCTAGACTAGCCCAGCCCAGCCCACTGATTCAAAATTCATGAGCAAAAATAAATGCTTATTGTCTTACACCTAAGTTTTGAGCTGCCAGCATTATTGTGGCAATAGATGGTTGATGTGCGAGGTCACTTTGTAACTTGATAATTTGGAGGAGGCTGTCTAGGCAGATAACTGATGACCTGTAATCTTTATAGAATAGGAATAATGAACGAAATTCTATTGTGGCAATTCAGTTTGGACATTAAAAAAACATTTTCTGATAGCTTTAATAAAATACTTGATTTGCTCTTTTGGGTAGCCTAGAAAGAACAAGAGATTAGAGAGCCATTTGAAGTTCCTTTCCAACGTCATGAAAGTGTATATTGTCAAATTTAACTCAAGAAAATATGTCACAGTTTAAAGTCTGTCTAAGTGCTCTTACAGTCAAAAGGAGGCAACTAGTATGTATATTTTATAAAACTCAAAAATATATATATATATATTTGGGGCGAGATAACCAAAACCTAATAGTACTGGTTTTGAAGCAGCTAAGGATGTTACAAAAGGAAATTGGTGAAGATTTCTTAATAATAGAAGCAGACATGTTAATCAGTAAAGCCCTACAATATATATGCTCAGTAGTCTATGATAGACTTTTTTCGTTTTTCAGAACATTTTTGGAAGATGAAAAAGTGCCTGCAGACTAAATAAGCCAGATATGTAGTGTCCATTTTAAAATCAAAATAATCTTTTAATCTAGATATTTAGCTTAACTTGCTGAGGGAATTTTGGAACAGAACATTCAGTGGCCAATTTTCATACCGTAAGAAGAATGAAAGTTACTGGGTAATAACTACCTTCTTGTTGAGTTGGTGTACTACTCAACAGGGTCATGCACAAGCATAGAATCAGGAAAAAAAAAATGCATTGTGTACCACAGGGGAAACAATTGGCTTCGCTTGTTTTGGTTGATGTCACCTATTTACCTCTATTATCAAATCCAATGAATGCTTTTTAATCCTTAATTCACATATTCTGTGTTTATTCTACTTCCTTGAAGCTTTCAATCTGTTGGGCCTTTGTTTTGCTGATCCTCCTTCTCCTTCCCAGGAGGAGACAGAAGGAGGAGAGGGAAATACCTAGCAGCAGTGGTGTTTGGGATGAAATACAGTCATTATAGAGGAAAAGGGAGTTATTCTATATCTTTTCCTAATGAAGGAATAGTCATAAGCTTCAGATTTATAAGGCATTTTAAGCCATCACCACTGCTTTTATGACTTACAATCAATCTGGGCAGATGAGATGACTTCCAAAGCATTTTCGTTTTGTAAATATTTACTGAAAGATAATAATAAGGTTCATTTAGGTTGTTTTCTATAAATCATGAAACATCTTCCTCTATTTTTACTTTTAGAAAGTTGTGCCTTTTAACAACCATCTCACATCTGTATTTTCATGAAGTCTTCTCTAATTACAACTGGAGCTCATATTCCTTTTGAATTTCTTTTTTGTTTTTTTTAAGACAGAGTCTCACTCTGAGCTGGAGTGACAGTGGGCTCAGAGTCTCACCCAAGCTGGAGTGCAGTGGCATGATCTTGGTTCACTGCAGGCTCCGCCTCCTGGGTTCAAGTACCTTTTGAATTCCTGTAATTCTTTTATTATAAGCTTTTTTCAAGTGATACTCATACCATTTTGCATCACAGTTATTTCCTATTTGAGCTTGCCAAATAGATTACTTGCACAACAGCAAGGGTGTTGTCTTAAATACACAACTCACAATATCTCTTTGCATAAAGAGGTTCAGAAATACGTTCTTTTTTATTTGGTCCTCTAGGCCTCTTAAAATTATTTCTTCCTAGGCACTGCTCCTGTTTAAAATTTCTTTCTCCACTAATCTCAGTAACATAGTTGATGTAAAACTAATTCTAATTTCATCAGAACTTTATATGTGTGTATTTTAATAAATGAAAAGTATAGGAATGATTCTTCTAACCAAAATGTGAAATGTATTAGTGTTTCTGAAGTCATTTCTTAAAACAGCAAAATTGATCATGTGTTTTAATTTCATGGGAATTCTCATGAATTACTTTGAAAACACAGCTTTAACTTTGTCCTTAGTAAACATAACACTGCTGTTTATTTTTTCATTTTCACTGCACTACGTATATCTTAACCCCAGCTTTTTTTTTAAACCACTTTTCCAAACTGAAGCAAATCTAAAATAAATTTAAAGCCCCTAAATAGTTCAAAAATTCCTTTTAGAATACTTTATTTCTGTAATATCTACTTAGTAAAAAAGTACAAATAAACCAATGCAAGATATTAATCATGCAGTATCAGGATTTAAAGGATGACTTTGCTGTGTTGAACTAATGAAATGGAATAAATATCAAATTATGGTTATTTCTAAGTTGTGCCATATCGCTTATAATTAATTAAAATAATCTTACTGAAGCCAAGCAGAATGCATAGGACCCTTGGAATACAAATAAGTTTTTTCCTCCCTTGATTCACTGCTGTACTAAGAGCAAATTTATGTCCTCCATGATTTGGCCCTAGAATGCATCAGTAATCTCTGTTGCTTTTCAAGCTGACAACCAGGCTCTGAATAAAGAATGAATACCAGCCTTGAATGAACATTTCAGGCACTTTTTTTTAGAAGGCTAGTCATCAATACCTTTTCTCATTATTGTAAGGCCAGCTGCTCTGGTTTTCCTTTAGGAAAAAAAAACATAACTGCATGTATTGAAGTCATCTTTCTCAAAATATTTATAGTTTCTTTTTTGTATATTTGTTTAGTGGTAATGATTTTGAATATTTTATAGTATCTATATAAATGCAATCCTTGTGTATATGTATGTGTTATAGTCAAAGACTTTTTGATAAATTTCTTATTTATCCTGCCTTTAAGCTAGCTTTTTCAATACCACTCTTTTGACACCAATGTCTCCAGGAGTATTAAAATTCCCTATCTTCCTTTCTGGCCTGGAAACAATATAAAAGACACAAAAGCCATTAAGTCACAGTATGTTTTCCATTGTAACAGCTTCCAATATTACTTGAAGTATCCATTTCATTCTTACCTATGAAAACCATGAAATGTTATGCTTCTAACTTTAATGAAAATCTATAGGGACTGTGTATACCATTCCAGATAAAGGAGCACATCTCCTATTATTAATGGTTTATTTAATATTTTTATTATATATTGTATATCTTTTCATTTATTCAGCAGCATTTTTTGATGCCTGCAGAGTTTTGAGACTGCTGGATATTGGGGCCACAACAGTGAGTAGACAGAGCCCTACTTTCGGAGTATACAGATAAATTAACAAAGAGCAATGAATATTGTCAAGGAAGCCCACAGTAAAGAGAACAGTCCTAGTCTAGGAAGTCAGGAAAGGCCTCTAAAAGGAAATGACACTGAAGGTTTGCGATGAACCTAGACAGATAAATGTTGAAGTGAGTGTGGAGTCTCCCAGGCAAAGGAAACAGATGCGTGTAAATGTATGCAAATACTTGGTGCAGAGCATATAAGCAATGCAATAGCTGGAAATACATTAGAAAGATAAGCAGGAGCAAATCATAAGAGGATCTTAGGAAACATAGTAAGGAGTTTGCATTTTATTCCATGGGCAATAAAACTGAAGAAGTGAGTTACCAGTACAGCATTTTGGAAAGATAGCTGATGGCTACAAAGTGGTAAATGGATTAGGGAGAAGTCAGCTTGGAGGTCAAGAGACCACTCAGGCTGTTAGAATGGGTGGACAGAAGATAGTTATGGTGGTGGCAGAGGACAGAAATAATGAGATTTAAGAGACATTTAGGATGTGGGATATACGAGGC